CTTTAATTAAAAAAAAATTAGTAAATAAATAAACACGAGACATGTGTGAACTCCAACTCTGTTTTTTTACCCACAAGGAATGCCCGATCATCAGGATGTGTTTATTTAAAAATGGTGTTTCAACCGTTTATTTACACGGCGTGGTGACACTTACCTGTACTTTGGCACCTGTGAGTATTGCAGTGTCATGCTGTTTTTTTTTCAGCTTGGGGGCCCAGCACGACGGCTCGTACAGCACCGGTGGTTCTAACTCCTACGACAACACTGCGTGTCCTTCCAATGCCGCCAATATTATGGCGCCAGTTGCCGGAGGTTCCAATCCTACAAATGGCTATTATTTCTCCGCTTGTTCCATCAAACAGTTCAAAAGCGGCCTGAAGTAAGTTGTACTCATTAAGCTATATGGGCGTACATGGAATTGACAAATTTTGAAGCGATTGGGACTTTTTTAAGCAATCTGTGGTAACCGGCCTCAAGGTATGTTTAAGACCCCAGTTCCATAGATTTTAAATCGATCTATCCCTGTGGGGAGTCTCACTTGATTACTGTCAGCTTAGCCGGCTTAAGCGTCTGTCCCGCCTGCTGAAAGCTGTAAGGGGGTAATTAACTATGGTGCGCGCTCGGCTGACAGCAATTTAGCGTGAACCCCCAGGGAGTTAGGTCGATCTAAATCTTAATCTCTGGATCGATCTAAATCTCTGGGAATACACCCTAAGTGAAATTTGCATATATGCGCTATTGGTATATTTAAAAAAAAAAAAAAAAAAAAAAAAAAAAAAAAAACTATAGTCAGGTTCCCTGGCTAAGAATGTTATATACAATGTCTTTCAGGGATGCGTGTTGTCTTAAGGATACTGGAAAATACGAAAACCTTGAAGAGTTCAAGTCACATACTCAGGATTTACCAGGGCAGCTGTATGATGTGAATAAGCAGTGCAAAATGCTGCATGGTGAAGGCTCTAATCCGTGCCTGGTGAGTACTCTCTCTCTCTCTCTCTCTCTCTCTCTCTCTCTCTCAGCAATTTTTTTTCATTATCAAATTATAATAAAAGAACAGGAGGTGTCTTCACAACCATTTCTTAACTAAAGCTCCGATATATTTTCAGAGCTTTATGTCAAACAACTTTTGTCAGCACTTGTGGTGTACTAACTCTAATGGACAATGTTCCACCGGCTACAAACCACCTGCGGACGGTTCTGAGTGCGCGACAGGAAAATGGTGTATAGAGGGCGTTTGCGTCAGCAAGGACACTCCTCTAAAGAGCAGCAAAGGGAGCAGTGGCCAAAGCACAGAGTGGTGCCCTTACGGCAAGTTTTTGTTATCACCATAAAATTAAACGATTAATCGGAACAGTTATATTACTGTGTGTTGTGGTGTGAACATCTGGTGCAAGAATGATAGAATACTGGTGCGTAGTCTTGCAGTAGAAACGTGTAGTTCTGAAAAAGAATAAGAGGCCAGTATATTGTATAGTATTGAATTATAATTCTTTAAAATATTATTGATAGATAGATTTGATATACATTATATAGGTTGGCCAGGAGACTTGTGCCCGGATGCAGATGCTTCGGACATTAATGTGGGGAAGGGTTGGGAGAACTGTACAACTGCCATCAACAGAGAAGGAGACAGCTTTTGTGCAAGTGCGCAGAATTCAGCATCCGGTTTCTGCTGTATGCAATGCTATTACTATTCGCAGTCAAAATTAACTGGTAAGGGCCACTTTTATCAGTATTAACTGGCGTCTAATATCAATTTGCATTTATGACTTGTTCAAACTTATCTTTCATAAAAGTACCAAATCATTCAGAGTTTGTTTCTGAGAGAAGAAAATGTTTATTCAGAATTGTTGTAGAATTTAGAGCTCGACATTTACATATGAAGGAATATATTGTTCATGGGATTAATAGCTATACAATGCCGGTTGCTAGACGAAGTCATTACTAGCAACCGGCATTGCATCATTACATCCTGAGTTTTATAAGGTCCCATGTCGATGCGTGGTAGCTTATTTTATTTTTGAGCTCTTGCACCGTCAAAGGCAAGTCTGGATGAAGTTTATCGCACAGAAATGTTTTTGTATAAAAAAATAAAGTTTTTGAAAATCTAGTACTCCATTTATTAAATTCATTTATGTGAAATACGACTGGATAACAAGCAGACATAATGTAAATTTAAATAAGTTTTCCAAAATTTTGACCTCTTTGAAGGACATTTACATGTTTGTGTTTTCGTTAAAACCCGTGGCACTGTAGATGTACAAGCATTTTAAGATCGCTGAAGTAAACTTAACATTGCAGACACCGCTGCCCTTTCAACCGGTGTAAAAGGAATGACAGTCCTGGAAGTCCGGACACCCATATGCTTAGTACAGGTTAGGGTTAGTTGGAGAATTATATAGGACGTCAGTCACTTGTATAAAGTAGTAGGAAGCGGATCACATGTATGGTTCCTGGTACGCAGGCACGCAGAGGTGTACGGGAAATTTGGAAAAGCTGGCCACCAACGGTTCTGAAACTAAGATTAATTAATTAATTCATTGCTACCTGCTTATTTCAGGAGTGTGGGGAGAGTGGCAAGATTGGGGAAGTTGTAGCGCTAGTTGCGGTGGCGGCACTCGCACGAGATCTCGTACTTGTCCGACTACTGGCGCCTGCGCAGGAGAATCTTCACAGACTGTGCAGTGTAATACTGATCCTTGCGTCGTTTCTCAGCCGACCACTACTGGGAGTAATAATGGTGAGTGCCACTTTCATTTGCTAACTTTTGGTGTACATTTTTTGACACTCTGGTTAGTTTTAAAATTGCGCAGGTTCCGAAACTAAGGAACAGGTCATTATATAAGTTGGTGGGTGGGGGTAGAGAGGAGAAAATGAGGGGTCCGTGGAATTATTGAAGCAAAATTTTGGAGGGGTCTTGAAATTTGAAAAAGATAGATATGGGGGGTCTTGAGGCCTTTTTTATGTGACTTGCCATACAAGTCACAGTGAAAAATGTAAATAATTTTGTACATTTCGCATATTTTTATTGCGGGGGCTCATATTTTTCAATCAGTCCAAAAAATATGATGCTATCCGGGGTGCTTTCGAATTTTTTTTTTGGGGGGGGTGGGGGGGGGGGTAGAAAGGGGTACATCCAAGGCTTAGGAAGGGAATTTAACCCTGTGAACCCAGCCACTGGCTGTCTACATATGCTGGCCTATGCGGCGGTGAACAACAAAAGTTAATTTCAAAAGCTCTCGTTATCGACTACATGCAATAGAGACGGTGTCGATTTAATCTCAATCTCTTTTCTGCGAAGGTGTGTATTTAAGATAAGCGGGTTGACTTCTAAGAAAAGTCCGGCAATAAATGAGGCACACCTCAAAAAAATGCTCATCATTTATCTGTTTATACCCTCCCCCTTTCATTTAAGGTTAAAAAATAACTTCCATGGAGATAACTTGGATGATGTCATTAATTCACATTTCCACCTTTGTTGATATATAACAGACACACATTTATGTATTCTGTACGTGTAATATAAAGTAAGCACAGAATATCAAGCTTTTGGAGGAAATTTTTAAATGAGTGGCGTAGCACGGGGATTCACTGCATTCGAGATCAGCAGGACCGATATGAGCCTCTGTTCTCTTAATATATATAGATTTTTGTAAATACATGTATCTCATGTATCAGAAACTTTTAATCTCTCTCTCTCTCTTTGTATGTGTGTGTGTGTGTGTGAGTGTGAGTGTGTGTGCAGTGGCGGATTTAGAGGGGGTCAGGGGGGTCCCGCCCCCCCCCCTGCGGTTTCTGAAAAAAAAAACACTAATATTACCCTCTTGAAATAAGAGTTTAAATTAGCTGATTTGTAGTTCTTAACAGGTCCAGATGACCTACAAGACACCAAAATATTTTGAGGCCTTTTAGCGGGCCCCAAACCCCACCACAAGGCCCCCCCTCCGATTTCTGAAAAATATCACAACAATGGTCTC